CCAAACCTCACTTGGGTACACCCAAGCCTCACCTGGGCACACCCAAACCTCACCTGGGCACACCTGGGTACACCTGGACACACCCAGAGCTCACCTGGGCACACCTGGACACACCCAGAGCTCACCTGGGTACACCTGGACACACCCAAACCTCACCTGGGCACACCTGGGCACACCTGGACACACCCAGAGCTCACCTGGGAACACCCAAAATGCACCTGAGAGTCCAAAACCTCACCTGGCACCTGAAAACGTCCCCGCCCTTCCCCCCAAACTCCCTCATTTCCCCAAAATCCCCGATTTTCCCCCCAAAATCCCAATTTCTCTTCTCAAATTTTGATTTTTTTCCCCCGAATCCCGTTTTTTTAACCCAAAATCCCATTTTTTCCCCCAAAAATCCCCATTTTTCCCCTTAAAATCCCCGTTTTTATTCCCCAAACCCCATTTTTTTTCCCCAAATCCCCGTTTTTTTCCTAAAATCCCTGTTTTTTTCCCAAAATCCCCATTTTTTTTCCCAAAATCCCATTTTTCCCCCAAAATCCCCATTTTTTCCCCCCAAAAATCCGTATTTTTTCCTCAAAATCCCATTTTTCCCCCCAAAAATACTATTTTTTCCCCCAAAAATCCCATATTTCCCCCCAAAAATCCCATTTATTTTCCCCCAAAATCCCCATTTTTTCCCCCAAAAAATCCCATTTTTTCCCCAAAAAATCCCATTTTTCACCCCAAAAATCCCATTTATTTTCCCCAAAAATCCCCATTTTTCCTCCCAAAAATCCGTATTTTTTCCTCAAAATCCCCATTTTTTCCCCCAAAAAATCCCCATTTTTCCCCCAAAAAATCCCATTTTTCCCCCAAAAATCCCATTTATTTTCCCCCAAAAATCCCCATTTTTCCCCCCAAAAATCTGTATTTTTTCCCAAAAATCCCATTTTCCCCCCAAATCCCCATTTTCCCCCCCAAAATCCCATTTTTCCCCCCAAAAATCCCCATTTTTTTCCCCAAAATCCCCATTTTTTCCCCCCAAAATCCCATTTATTTTCCCCCCCAAATCCCATTTTTTCCCAAAAATCCCGTTTTTCCCCCCAAATCCGTTCCCCCGCAGGGGCTGCTGTCGGAGACGTTCCTGGAGGCGCATCACCTGGCCAAGGTGAGCAAGAGCGAGGACGAGGAGGGCGAGGCCGAGCTCAGCCCCCAGGAGCTGCAGGAGATCACGGCCGGCCGTGAGTTCGGGGAGAAAAAACGGCTTTTTGGGAAAAATGGGGTTTGGGGAGAAA